AACTTAGAAATGAGGAAAAATTTCCTGACAGTGAGAACAATTAACCAGTGGAACAGAAATTGCCTCCAGAGGTTCTGAATGCCCCAACACTGGAAGTCTTTAAGAAGATGTTGGACAGCCATCTGTCTGGAATGGTATAGGCTTTCCTGCCTAGGCAGGGGGTTGGACTAGAAGACCTCCAAGGTCCCTTCCAACTCTGCTATTGTATTGTATTGTATTATGTATATATGTATGTGTGTGTATGAATATATGATTAGGACTAAAAAAAAGTGGTTTTGAGACAAATTGTAAGCAGCTCCTCTCCTCCTTCCCTCTTCCTTCCTGCCCCAGGCTCCGCGAACTGTGTGTGAAGCTGATGTTCCTGCACCCTGTTGACTATGGGAGGAAAGCGGAGGAACTGCTGTGGCGGAAAGTTTACTATGAAGTCATTCAGCTGATCAAAACAAATAAAAAGGTAGGCGATACATTCAGTCTTTATGTTGACAACGGACTTCGCTTGTGACCACAGCAATACTTCCATCCCCGGCTGTCGGCCTTCGTGGTTTGCTGTGCCCAGTCGCCATGGTCCCAGGGTTTGCATGGCTGTTTCTTTGAATACCCCTTGTTTGCTGTAGAGCAGAGTCCCAAAGCTTTCCTGCTTTGCAGAGAGAGGAGCCTTCCACGGGAATGGCCGGCAAGCGCACATGCACAGCTCCATTTGCACTCACGCACGCACGCCACGTGCAGATGGAGCAGGGGGGCACTCGCTTGTGCAAGCAGGGATGCGTGCACACGTTCTTGTCCACCGTTTCCAGGGGACCCGTGGCTTAAAGAACTAAAACAAGTGAGCCGCCTCCTAACTTCTTGCCTGCTATGTTGGAGGCACTATTGGTCTTTTGCTTTGGGGCGAAATCTTACTTGGATTCCTTTAGAACCAAATCCTTTAGTGGCCCCTCAGTGGCTATTTTTCAGTTGTGACCTTTCCCCACAATTCAGACGCTTGGCAACTGGTTCATATTGGTGACCGTTGCTGTGTCCCAAGATCGTGCGATCCGCTTTTCCAACCTTCTGACAAGCAGAATAGAGTTGGAAGGGACAGTGTAGGGCTGGACTCAGCAAACTGCGGCTCTGGAGCCGCATGTGGCTCTTTTTTCCCTCTGCTGCGATTCCGTTACCGGTCGGCACCACAATTTTGAGAGGAGCTTCCGGTGGGGATGGGAGGAGGAGGAGACAAGCACAGTGCGCCAGGAGAAGATTTATGGCAAGGGGAGGGTTTTCCAGTTGTCTCCACAATTGATAGGGCTTTCGGTTAGGA